ACGATGGGGGTGTATTGTGCTGATGGACCGACGATTTTACTTGTGTACACGATGATGCGTGCGTAAGAACAATTGCATGGATCCCACAAATCACAATTCGTTACTAACATTGTATCCAGTTACAGGAAGGATGGTGCACTACAGAAGTTTTCCATACAATTATTGGTTTAGCCAAAAGAAATTTAACTCTGCGCCATATTTTAAGCCTTATCCAAAACGCCCCAAATAGTGACTATCCAGCTTCATCCACCCCAACTCCACCCCGATGAAGGAATCCAGTGATTACCTTGCAGCTGAAAATTTTTGATAAAACTTCCCTTCCAGGCCCTCTAAAAGCATGTAATGCTCTTCGAGGAGTGCGCTTCGTAGATTATCCACACATGAGAATGTCAGGGTAAAGGCATGACATGATATTTCCTCGATGCCTCGCCTCTGCTGCACTCCATCTTTTCAATACTGTCCCACCGTTTACCTGCGGGAATCTTGTTCACTTACACCCCATCCGTTGAAGTATTTCCCAGTATGCGATTTGACTATTTCATTTAAAGTCATTCTTTTTTCATGTCTCATGATTAAGAAGTAGTTGACAGCTAACTATCCAACCAGTTTCCCGGACCTTTTGTTGTGATCCTACTTAAATGATTTTTATTTCTTCACCATTTTTTCACACAATAATAACAGGCCAATCCATTTAGAAGTAAGCCTTCCTCAAGACATTTAAAAAGACGTTCCTATTCCCTGCTTTTCACTGAATTTGCAATCACACAGCACTCGACATAAATATGGTACCATTCCGCCAAATGCATGAGCTTGGAACCAGACAATTTTTAAGAAAGAAGATAACACTAAAAAAATCAACGTACAGACTAACTTCTGAGTTCCCTAAAATAAATCCAACAGAAATCACAACTGCCAGAAAGATAGCATTAAGATGGACATAGGATGAAGTGCAATAGGGATGACACTGGACAGGATGTTCTAGACGGCGTATAAGAGACGATGAAAGACAGTTTATCAAAAGATCCATAAAATACGTTATTTTTTGCGTTTGCACGCCACCACATGTATGAAGTTGTCCGGATAGGCCATCCACTCACACATCCACTGAGCTGGCGTCTCTGGCGGCACCTCCACTCCATGCACCAGAAATATGAAATCTGTAGAAGAAACAAATCACAGTTACTGAAACGCTATGAGTAGAAAAGTGACAAGCTGACCTTCAGCATGAAGTTGAACGTGGCTGCACTTGAGGAGGGTGGCAATCACGTCAGCGAAGGTGGCAGGAGTCCCGTCCACCCCACTGAAGGGGGACACGAGGGTCTGGAGGTAGGTTGTAGTGGGGGGAGAAGTCTCGAAGGCGTGGGGGGAAAAGTATACACGGAAGGGGCAGTGTCGAAATGCTTTCATTGCACCGGTTGTGACCATTAGAGCTGCTGCATCCTCACCGAAAATGCGCGTGGTTTGCCCATCCTCGATGTCGTTCTCAGTGGGGTCTGGAGCAGTGCATACAGAAATGATAAGTAATCAAAAAGCGTATTCTTTGGCCGAGGGTAAATGAAGTTGGCCAGAAGAAAGACAATGAAAAGTTCTAAAGAACGATTTGTTGCGGTATGAAAGTCGCTACCGTATGGGTTTTCTTTTATGGTTCGAGTATCGCAAATATCGGACGACCAAAAACTAACTTCGAAATGCAACATTTCCTAATGTAATCTATTTTAACAAAACATTACATTAGAGAAGATTGAAAAGGAATACAGAGCTATTCCAATCAACCTGGGAGTTTTGACTTCACTGCCATAAAAGGGCGATCGCCGTGGCAGAATTACGCGTGATTGTAGATCACACGTCCGGGCACAGCCAGTCAAGATGACAGACGACAGCGGTGGTGGATAGGTGAAACAATATGCGGCGATTAAAGAAGATTCTTGTTAATGAAAACATAAGAACACCGCATACTCGTGTCTGCAGGTACGTAGTAACCCACGTCAATGAAGGCAATGCACAGGTGATACACACTAGACATAAGTTAATTGAATACCACGAAAAGCCCTGGGAATTCTTAACGTTTTAGAAAAGAGCATAATTAATACACTGATTTTGATTACTTGTTTTAGAAACAAAGTGTATTTCAGCAGGGAAAATAAAAAGCCAATCACGTTATGAACAACCCGTTAGTATAGGGGCAACTATTCACAATCAATTCCCATTAGGACTGAATTCAGGCAGCCATGGCCTACAACTAACCGGGTGGAGCCAGTGACCTGGCGGGTGCGGGAGCGCCCTGCATGAAGCGCTTATTGATGGACCAGAAGAGATCGAAGCGGTGCTGCAGGAGACCGTTCCACAGTCGGTGCTGATCTTCTGGGAGTAATTCATTGAAGATCGGTCCAGGACCCTCGCGACCTCGGTGCTTCAGCTGGTCTGCCTCCTTCAGGGTGGCCAGGAAAATTGCCTCAACAGCGGAGCGGGAAACCGGAGGTGCAAGGAGAGTGTTTGTTGGATAATCCTGTCAATAGGACTTATTAGCAGCAGAACGATATTTTTATCAATTATGCATCTGTCTACGCAAATCTTTCAGTTCCCACAATCCGCCTGTCACACTAGTGCCATGAAGGTGTGGTAAAGGTCTTCAAGACATTCTGTAGGTCATTGCTAGATTTTTAAAAAGTACCGACTTTAGAGATTATCAGAACAATGCAATTTAGCAAGCGGTAAGTGAACCCACGCCAAAGGAACACAAACCTTGGTTCTGCTGAATGAATACCACGAAAAAGAATGAATGAATCTGCAGACTTAAAAAAGGGACTGACACCACGCGTAAACTTTGTCAGCCGTTCCACGCATGTGTAATGGAGGTGAAACATGCAAAACCACCAACAAGAGGACTAGTTAGTGTGCGCGAATGATAATAATGAATGATGACCAAAATGTAAACACGCGATATCTTTCAAACATGCCAAAAGAGAGCGATAACGAAAAAGACAATTGCATTGCACTAGCATAAGGATAAAAAGGAAAAATGAATGCAAAACACAGGTCCAGGAAGCTACTTTACCTTGTCTTGTTATGTGGTCATACACAGCAAATATTTCTACAGGTGGCAATTGACACACAAAACACGCTTTTGTAGACTATCAGTAAACCACGATCAATTAAATGAAAGAGAATTCCTATAATAAAGTTGACAAATAATATGTAACAAGAAATTCACCAAAAATGCAATCTTTGGATTTTAAAGTACCCTTCCATTGACTGAACAACTGATGCATCATCTTAATCCATGTCATAAAATTGATTCTATAATACCCAAATACTAGATAGAAGCGGTAACGGTGACCAAAGAGAACGCTGAGGAAGATACTCAAAAAAAAACCGAAGTTAGACACCAAACTGATATTCGGTTAAAGTGCATTTTTATTTCATGAGCCCTTCTGATCTCCTGCGAAGCTGCCACCAAGCCAGCAGTACAAAGCTGTAATAATCGTCTTTTATCCTTTATATGTGGTTATACTAAGGCCCCTTCCAGACTAGTACATATTGGTACACGGGCAGAGATGACCACAAGCGAAGGAAGACGGTAACTTACCCCAAAGCGCACAGTGATCTCCCAAGGTAGTTTATCCGGTGAGCCATAGAGATCGAAAAGCAGCCCAACAGGATAGTGCCTGGAAAAGTTTACTTTGGTAAGTTCACTAACATACCATTCACCGATGTTAGGATACGCCACTGTTCTAAACCGCGGCTCTCACTTCCTTATTACTAAAGTATTTGAAATGCTCCGGAGGGGATAGAGTTTAACTACCTCTGCCCAAGATACACCCATAACCGAGACCGACTTGCCATTTCAAAGGAACGCCGTCGTAGACCAGCCAGTAGGTAAGATCCTTTTTAACAGAATGCGATTCCTCAGTAGATTGCGCGGGTGAACTGTCGTCAGTGAGGTCAGAGGGAGAGTGAGTGTGAGATAGTGGAAATTTCGACTGGAGGTAGGTGCGGAACTGTAAGATTACCTTTTCCAATACAAGTGGGAAGTATGTGACCCGCGGGACTAACATCTATAACAAAGAAGTTATCATTGGTTTAGCGCTAAATGATAAAGTGTAATAATGGCAAAAAAGCTTACAAGAAAGGGAGGAGGGGGTGAAGGAATTTCATGGGGTATTTCGCTAGGAAAAACACAAAAGGAAACAGGGATTGCACCATTCCATATTTTCTGGGAGATGGCGTCATTAGATTCCATCTGCATATAGGATGTATCTGTAATTGTTTCTGCACTCCTAATCGAACGATCTAAAAACATCACAAAAGAGCAACATGAGTGGAGTAACAAGACTGGTAAGATAAAATAAAAAATAGACGCAATTTAAGCACATGCTCAGGGACCTAGTAGGAAATTGATAACATGGGGCTCTTGAAAGACGCGCTTAAAACATTAGTTCTTAAAAACAAATCTTATTAAAGATAAATAATTTTTGAAAACTCTGCGAAAAAATAAATATTCTAATGCAAATTTAGGCAGCTTGCATAAAATACCTGTATCTACCAAAATTGACGGGCAAATCGTGTGCGAATTAGCTCCTTGGCTTTGCTTCGTAATCGACTGTATGTGATTTCCCGCAGAACGTCAATGCTTGATGATTATTTTCCCCTTTTTGAGGACGAGAAGATTCGAGAGTATGGGTTTTGTAAAGGTATCTCGTAACTTCCGGCGCCCTTCTTATCTCCTAGACAGTCTGCGTAACTTCTATTCCCTCGCCGTCAAAAATGCGTTTCCGTCACATGACGGATGTGTAGGACTTTTACCCACATAGTTGGCTTAATTTATCTAGGTTAACACTATAAAATGGGACAATTCAGGCCAATTTATCCTGTCTGGAGGTGATGACCGCTGTGTCGCAATTACCGACGTCTTTTCAAATGCCCCTGATAACGTCGTCTTTCGTAAGGAACTGAAAGCTATGAGCAACATATTTATAGCAAAGTTTATACCCGAAACATGCAATGATATTGTACTTACTGACTTTTCATAGAGTGCATTTATCTGAATAGATTTATGCAGGCTTTCGTTGTGGATGTGTAATGCGTGTTTCTGTCAGTGGTGGGACTAGTCTTACCGACGGTCAACTCTTTTTCTCTCACAAGATGCCCGTCTATGACGTAAGATAACCCAAATTATCGTCCATACCATTTGATCGCAGATTTGGTTCCATCCATAATCGGTTTTGATTTCAGATATTGACACTTCAAGACCACCAGCACTGTATAATTACGCTATCTCATGACCATACTGTTCGTCTGTGGGATACACGACTACCCCATTGTATTGGTCGCGATATGCAGCTTTGTGGTCGAACGTGTTTCTTCAGCACAATCAACTCTGCAACTTCAGCCCACTCCAAACTGCCTCAGATCGCCCCAACCATGCGATTCGAATTTCCCGTCACTGCTGGTGACGTTCATCCTCTTGACGGCTCGCGAGCCATTGCCCTAGCCAGTGCTGATGGCTTTGTGCGGTTGTTTGATCTTCGGCGCCTGTGTTCTCCATGTAACTTCCCTTTTACTTCCTACCTACACTACGCTATACACGTCTACGGCCTCTTTTTTTGCATTCATCAGCGATGGACACTCTAGCAACGGGTTCCAAGCAGGCAGCGCCACATCCCTACCAGATTGTTCGTCCCCTGGGTCTAGCTAGTCATTCAAATTTCTCTCATGAAATTCGCCTCGACTATGGGCCGCTATTTATCACCTCAGTGTGCTTTGAACCGCTTCATACCTCTCTTAACCTGAGCCTGCAACAACAGCTTCGACATCGTCGATTCAAGTCGCAGTATCCTGGACGGCGAATGCTTGTCAGTCATATGTACTCCTCTGTCTTCCTCTTCGACCTCAACAAACTAGAGGAGAAAATTGAGGAATTTTCGCACTCTACTGACCATTTGTTATCAGTGAGTGTCTAGGCGCCTCGTAATAAATATCATGTCATCTGACATTCTTCCACTTTAGTCGGCTAGACAGAAGGAGGAAAGGGTGGAGGCAGAAGGAAGTACTGCTCAGCCATCGGGAGACGCTGAAAGTTCTGAAAACGTCGAGCCACGTGAGTCTGTTCACTCATTGATGAAATATAAAGCCCAACTACTTGTAACGTATTAGAGTTGCTTCTGCAATGTTTTAGCGACTAAAGACGTTTTTCGTTCATCCTAACACCTTTAATAGCGGCAGACATCAACTTTTCGTTGGAGTTATTACGCCTTGCCTATTGGCAATTCGATCATTAGCCTTCTTAGGCCTTCCGCTTTTGTATCGTACAGATTGTATGTCTGTTTAAATTCGACACTTCCGACGACGTCCTTTTTAGCTTCTTTCCCGTTTTACTAACTAAAAGTATTTCTGACGGTCCAGGGTGTCTTGTGACTTCAGGCCCATTTGGTCATCCGAATTGGAGGCTAAAATCGTGGGGACGGCATGCCTTTCCTTATTTCTCGTTAGACCCAAAGCTTATATTGTTGAGGTCGAAGTAGGTAGAATTTGGCAAAAGTTCAGGTTTATCATTAGTGTACATAAGTGGTGTAATGCCGTAGGCATGACCGTCAAGATTTTGGATAGTTACTAAGTATAGTGAGGTTCTGTCAGGCCATTCATATTGAACAAAGATTGATTTGGGAGGTGTTACTGAATAATGCCCTACAGTGTACATATTCAATACGCCACTTTCTTTCCGCTTTCCCCAAAAGCAACAAGGCCGCTTTCAATTTGTGGAAACCTGATCTCGTTGCATTGGTGGTCACCCTGTAGAACTGTAATTAGGGGCTTTGCCAACAGTTGACCCCGTTTTATCCCTTTTGTGGTGAGTCTCCTTCGATTCAGACCTGCGACAAATATCTTTCCTCTGTGACGTTTAGACTTATCAACCAACTCGAGGAATCTGAATAGTTACTAGCCTGGTTCAGGTTCACTTACCACTGCCGCCAATGTAGCTCCTCAAGTCATTTCTCGAGCCGAAATGATGCATGCGATCTGCAGAGATTCAAGAGGCAGCCCTGCTAAACGATTATATATCAGTCGGCTACACTTTATACCACTTAACCTTCTTGAAGATATTGTTCGAAATTTATGAGCTTCCTCTGTGCTTGCTAATGCGCATGGGTGTATTCTGGTCAGACACTGACTGGGATGATTTTTGAGACAGGGTAACTTGCAATATTTGAAAACCAAATGAATTAGGCATCAAAAAGTGTTAAGTGAATGTATCAAGGGAAGATTGGGATTTTATAAACGGTCGCAAGCGTTACAACAATGGTTACGATGGGACCACTCCTCCAAGGTGATTTCTGATGCGACATGGCGATACAGCGTCAAGTGCTTTTGTCAGTAGCCAACCTGGCATCTAATCAAAACGACAGCGGTGGCAGCGTGGCTAATGGTGCTTTACATTATAGAGACAGGTTAAAGGAAACTGTAATTTGTCCGTATATCCTGCGGTATCGGAAGTTATTGGGGTGTTGTTGAGGCTATCCACAACCCCAGAAAGCCATTCCCATTTTGACTCTACAAATTCAGGGGTTGAATGTTCCCTTTTTGCGTTTATTTCTCGAACATTCTAGACTGTTTCTCAACTTGATTTTTCATTTATTTCCCTTCGATGGGCAGTTTCACGCTGGCTAATGTCCACTTTAAGGTCAAGGCCATTTAAAAAGGCACGTTTACGCTAGAAAGGCGATCACGCGAGTACTTCAGCCAACAAGCATGTACGTGCTCACTATATTTAGAGGATGCTGTTCTGAAGTCCTTATCGACTTTGATTTGCTGGTTGGAATCGTGACGGCGCCCATGCTCATACACTTGTAAATTGTAGTTCTTAACAAATATTATCGCAAAGCATTTCATTGTTTAGTTTATGACATTCCCCTAAATAGGATTTTTTTCCCACTTTCAGGTGCAGCCAGTGTTATTTTTGCAATGCTTCTTGCCGGGTGTGTTAACTTCTTTCATTCATTCATTACCCATTGAACGTATTGTCAGCCCAGTTAAAGTAATGCTCGAGTTTAATTTGGGATTAGAAATGGCAAATTATTAAATTGGCATAATGGATTATCTTTCCATGTAGTTTTGCAGTAAACATAATCCTTTTGTTATTTTTGTACCTTTGAAAGTAAGTCTTACGTAATACTTCTTAAAAAGTCATAAAGGGCAAGTCAACCTGTTTAAAATTAGATTTTTTATCTTTCACAAATGCGTGTTAAAAAACAGCTCTAGCTAATTAGCTCGTGAAAAAAAGACCCTTTTGGATATGCAAACTCATTCACAAACTTCCCTGATCAGTTTTTGCTTCACTTTGGCGCCTCTACTTTTGGATAGGGCTGTGGAACGAAGGCGTGCAATGTCGATGAATCACAACAACAATTCGGATCCGGAACGCCGTTCTCATGAAACAGAGAGCTCCACTGACAATGCTCATGACACCTCGTCTCGTCATTCTTCATCCAGAGATTCCACCATTGAGGGTACATCGCATCTTGAGAAATTTCTGACCCTATTATCTCATAATGGATACATCTCTTGTACAAAACCTTTCCTGCCTTACAGAGGCAGGTGAGAGTTCGGCTAAGGAATTGGAGTTCGCCTCAGACGAGATGATCGCTCGCGTTCTTGCCTCCTGTCCACGAGCACGACAAATAGCCTCCTATGCTGGGCAGCGATCATTCCGCACTGTGGTGAGTCAAGTTGGATCACCTTTACAGCGTTTATGGTTTTGTTTCATTAACCCTTTTACTATTCACCGGGAGCAACCTCTTTCTCCAGATATTTATTCTTTATGTGTTTGAACTGTTACCGAGTTCGCCGTCGTCCCGTCTTAATCAACAAATTATTTGTTAAAAACTGGGAATTTTTTGTGAATTTAGTGGAAATTACTGTAGGTCCATATGTGAAGATAGTGTAGTGGTGCGGGACTGTTCTTATGGTGATTTTGTGAAAGGAAATTGTTCGCTTATATGACTGTGGTTTATTTGTGTGAACACGCCCTCCAGATGTCAGGATGTTATCTGACTTACTAAAATGTACTTTAAGTTTACAACAAGCTTGATCTCTAATTTTAGTCGAAGTCAAATTAGTGGTGAAGATTTGCTGAAACTGAGTCTCGGTTGTTCACAGTGCTAAAGTAACTAAATGGATCCTTGCGGATTTGTATAATAAAATTGAATAACTGCTGGAGGCTCTTCAAGTCTTTTTATTAGCTAACGTAGCCGCTGGCACAAGATACTAACTACAACCCCTTACCAATGAGATAAAGCTTGCTGAGAATTCCACTTTTATGGAGCGTGTTTTGTTTCTAGAGACTAAAAATATGGCTGTAATTTTTGACCGTCAGAAAGAACTTCATGGTGAATAATTTCTTCCGCAGTGCATCACACTCAAGGGAGGCCTAATTCTGTGGGGAATGAAGTAATGCCTTAGAGGTGCGGCGTGGGTTAGTGGGTCGTTTGGGAAGAACCAATGATATGCTTGGTCGCTTGACGTTGGAATGCAAAAGTTAATTCTTATCGTAAGTTAGTCAATCTTTTCCCAACTTCAAGTTTTTCCAAAGTAAAGGAAGGAGGTGGAGAACAAATTGATGGTCCTTGAAACTTATCGTCACCTGTTAGTGCGTAGCATGCGAAAGTCATTTACTTAGCTTCCACGATTTTCCAGCTAATGTGGATGTCAATAAATTGTCTTATCATCAATCACGCTAGTCGTTACTGAAAGGTATTCTTGACACGTAAATCCCTAGTTATTTTTAACCAATACTAATACACACTCCCCCATTCTTTATGGTCAAGAACAAAGCGTCTCTTTCCCTAGTATGGTGCATCTCTTGAAGTGGTTCATCATCGGAATTGCATTTTTTATTTAAGCCGCTTAGCTTCAGGTGGTGTGTTGTTCTGCTATCGCAAGTTCCAATACGATGCAAGAAATTGGAGGAGAAGCCAACTCCTACAGCTTTGTGATCGAGTGAAGTTCGCCTGCTAGGCCGGACGAGCTGGGATCACGCGAGGAAGATGGTGGAGTGCTCCATCGATAGACTAACGCATTTTCATGCACACTTTACCGTGTTTGCACACTAAACAATCTCGTGCGTTTCATAAGTTCCTGTATCTTACTAGAGGCAATTGTGTCAAGCTATACCGAAAATCGCACGAAATTTTTCGGTCAAGCGATGCATTGCATAGTGTATGTGTGTTCACATTCGATTAGTTGAACATAGCCCTTCCCAAGAATAAGGTATTTTCTTGATGGATTTGACAAGTACGAACTTTATTCGCTCAACTGATGCACGAATCCAATCACCACAGGCATCTTCGCGCGAAATTATTTGCATAATTGGAGAAAGGGGTCATTTTTCCTTAACACTTAGTGTTTTTTCTTCAACTATTGCTATTGACTTTACCATTATTGATAGATTTTATGGTATTTGCTCTGTTTATTTTTATTAAGGAATCAGCTGCTCGACATCCTAGATACGTTTTTCCTTTGGCACGAATCGAGAAACGACGCCTTTTTGGCACAAAATGCTGCCTGACGACACTTCTAGTCGTAAAATATAATAAATTAGGAAGTAATTAATTAATGAAACCAATACATGCATGGCAATTTCTTGTAGTTTTTTTATTCCTCTGTTTCTTCAATACTCCCATATTTTCTTTTACATACAGAACCGTCGACTTTTTTATCCAATGCGATGTTGTTTTGATGTTGTTCCTGCCCTGGTAACCTTTGGTCACTAGGCCCTATATATTACTGCAATGTCATTGGTTCAGCTACCTTCTCTAGATCAAGGACGCGTGTTTCTGGGGTGAAGACTTCATAATCAGTGGTTCGGAGTGCGGTCATGTGCTGGCGTGGGATCGGGCAACGGGAGAGCCCGTGAATTCTATCAAAGCAGACACCGTGGTGAATCGTCTTCAGCCTCATCCCTTTCTTCCCTGTGAGTCGTCCCTATATTGTTATTTTACAAGTAGCGGTTGTTGCATTCCCTGGATGATTGGAGAGCAGAGAGACGAGTTCCCATTTGACCAAAACGGCGGATCATATACTCTTTATGCTTTAGCAGATATTTGTGAATGAGATCAAAATATCAAGCATCAAATTTGACATTCAGCCCCGTCTGTAATCTATGTGCAATTTAGAGCTACTGTAGTGGTTTGGAAGTGCAAGAAGTGTCGCCATTATTGCAAGTACGCAGCTGATATCAGAAAAGCCTCGCAGGTACGAGGACGTAATAAAATAGTGAGATTTGCCTCTAAAATCTCTTCGTGTCAGGCGCCAACTTATGCTCGGAATACTATGGGACGACCCGTTGGTATATTCTGCCTCATTTTGTCTCTGCTATTCGTGATTTTATAGTTTCTATTCCGGAGCTTTTTAATTTAAACCGTTAAGGTTATCATTGGTATCAAAAGGTCAGACTTCGACTAGTCAGGCTGCTTGTTATCATACATTTTCACTGGGCATTTTGATCCCATTTGAGATTTTGAACATGTCTTTTTGTTTATGGGCTGATCATGAACGAAGCATCTGTTGCTAATATCTTTGAGTTATTGACACTGTATTGGTTTGGTTTGTTAAATTTTTTAAAGAAAAAAAGTCTTCGCCATTTCGTCTTTTCAGGGGTGGAAGGCAATAAAATTGATTACCAAGCCTAAGCTCGAAGAACAGTCGATTCTCCAATCACTTACCATTTTATAGAATTGAAGTACTTTGCCTGCTGCGACATTGTTTAGGAATTTGCCTTTGAAGTACACTAACGGTGGAATTTTCACCATTAAGATTGTCCCATGAATGCCGTTTTTTACATTTCTGTTGGCATTGCACTTTTCTCCTGACCTAGTGGTAACCCCCAGGATGTGTAGTATCGCCCCTTTTTCAGTGTTTTTAAATAAAGTTAAATCACGTAGTTTCACCACTATCGTTGACAGTACAGTTGTGCATGTCTGAAGAATAGCTGTTCAATGTTGTATGAATAAAATAGTCCATGTTCTGGAGGGATTTTGGCTTCTGTATGAGTCATGATGTTTTACAATTTGAATAGTGAATGAACCAGACAATTTTGAGCTGTTGGAGCACGGTTTTGTTTTTATTGAGTGACATCCTTTTCCTGTTAGTGAATCTAGAGGGACATTGTTGTATTTTGTTACGTTTACGAGATTATTTACCTAGTTGCCTCCTATAGCATATTTCTGTGGACGTAATAAGACAAGCTAATGTAGCATAATGACTTATTTCCATTAGTGGAAAGAAATACTGGGAGTTTTAAGTATAGACGGATGTCCATACAGTCAACGCATAAGTGGAGCCCACGGAGAGTCAAAAGTTTGCGCAGTCAAATATGCATTTAAACAGCTATTCTTTTACAGCATAGTCTCTTCATTTGCACCACGTCCCCGGGGCTCTCCTTGACCTCTTTTTTTGCTTCGGCCATCAAAATGTACTCGGTGCCTTAAAATCCTCCGTGGGTAAGATTTGAATGTCCTACCTTTGGATGTTTTTGCTAACACCACCAATGACTATTGACGGTTTCAACTCCTCCACCTTCGTGAGCTTCGTTGTGGATATTTACTACACGAGAGTGGCCGACGCTCCACAAAAGTGCATTTTATGTGCTGATCGCCATTCGTGGGAATGTTGACCCAAAGCGAGTCATTTAATTGAACACATAATTTAAAGTAACTTCGTCGAGCTAAATCCAGTACTCACTCTTTGCTGCCATTCAGTGGTACTAGGATTGTGAAGGGGGTACCATTTTTTTTTCACGTACTTTGCGTCACTTCACATTAAATACCTCTGATAAGTGTTTCAATTCATTCAAATTTGGTGTTACTTCAGTAGTTAAGTGCCTCCTCGCAGAACTCAAGATTAGGGTGCTCGCAGACGAGGCTTCGGTTTTCTATTGTCGAGTCTCGGTAGAGCCAGTCATCCACCACGACAATTTTTTCGGTTACTGGTTCAGCATCCAGCACCGATTTCTGGGCTTTTTGTTCTTTTAGATTGAGTTCGCTTACTGCTGCCATGGGTACAGAAGCCAATGTCTTTACCAAAGCCATAATGAAGCATACAAGGGTGGGAGGGTAGTTTATTGGCATGCGAAGAGCCGGAAGTCCAGTGGCATGGACGGATGTCTATGTAGTGGAAGGGTTCACGTAATTGGGTTCACATTCAAACGATTATTTTTTCCAGTGTATCGTCATATTAGCACTGGTGCTTCTGAAAAGTTGAGGTATGCAAATCTACGGGTAACTTTATTATAGGTATACAGTGTGGCTGGGATACCAGCGGGACATCTACGGTACGCATGCACTGTAAAGGCAATTACTAAGGCGACAAAAAGGCCTGCGTAAATTGTATATCGGCTTAAACTGTTTTTCTCACATCTAGATCTTGCAGTAAGCGGCGTGGATTACAGCATTAAGCTTCTCCAACCGACGCCTCTTCCTTTGGACGAGACGGAGGATGATTTCGTCCATCGCATTAAAAAACGCAAAGCCGATGCGGCTGAGGTGACGTTGAAATTCGCTTTTTCTACTTGTCTGCATTTGTGACATTCAGAGGAGCGAAGGGCGGTTTTTTTGTCTTTCTGGCATATACCCACCAATAAGTAGCGTGTCATGACAACGTCGTGGTGGTATTGTAGTAATTCATAACGTAGAATGTCTTAGCATATGTCATCTAGTGCTGACATTTAGACAAGCCTTTTTAAATGTACACCTGCAAAATAAGGTATTTTCTACATTACAGCTGATGAGGCTAAATCTCACGAGGACACAACAGGTAGTTGAAAGCAGTGTTTCTCTACGCCAACAGCTCGCAAGTTTCCGAATTGGACGAAGTAAGTCCCATTTTCGATTCAGCGGAATTTCGCGTAGACATGCTCTGTGATCATATCTATCAAGAATGATTCGAATTTGGGGCTAGATTTAAAAACAGTAAAGTTGATTTCGTCTATTTCTTGTTAGCAAGGAAGGTTTGCGGTAAACTGATTAATTTATTCCATTCATGGCGTTCCATCAGACCAAGAAGACCTAGTAACTCACCGGTTGTGCTTCTTCGATGTAGTTCGTCCGTCATTGCCTCCTTTAGTCAGCTGCACAGAAAAATGTTTGGGAAATGTTGTTTTAAGCTGATAGGTTCATCCTAGCGTCCCGAATCATCCCTCAAGCCGTAACAAGGCATACTAGTACAGAAGAATGCCTTGTTGTTAACGGATGGTAAAGACTTGGATGCCATAGACGTGGACGAGGTTCTATGCCATGGAGATTGATGAGCCCCATGGCCAAAGAAGTAAAGAGAAAAATTAATGTCGTTCCATTGCACAGTGTCATTCTCGGTGCTCTTCATGGCTAGTCTTCCAGAGAATTGAACAACTACCAGGTGGGACCGAAAACGGTATGATGAATTCGAACCACAGGGGAATGCTGCCCATGATTGACGTTGCATGTTTAGGTCTGTACTGCTTTCTCCACAAATCATTTGGGGGTAAGACTATAGGCTGGACGACTTTCTGCAGCGGGCGTACTTTTTACTCCAGTCGACCAGTGCTTAAAAGTGGCGCTGGGTAGAGAGCTATTACACTCCTACACTTTTATAGGGACAGTCGCCTCCAATTACGTATTGCAAGCCTTCCTTTAAGGCCGGTTTCGATTTGTTGAAGCTTGACCTTTTCGCCGGTGGCTGTTGCACAGAACTCGAATTTGCGGGTTTGCTGGAAGGTGCAGTGTTCAAAAACCTCTCTGTACTGAGCCTACAGACTCAGCTGTTAAGGCCAGGTAATCGGTCAACGCTAATAGAGTTGTTCTTCGCTGCTGTTACAAATGTGGCGTCCTGAGTCCTCCCTTAAGGCTTAAAATGGCATACCACAGAAGACTGGCTCGTTATTAGCATAGAGAAGGGGTGGAGAGAACATATCGCCGTGATGGTTGTAAAAACTGCATGCTTACGGTAAAATGTTGCTTTTAAGTACTAATGTAAGCGGTTTTTTAATTCATTCCTTGCAGTGGCGCGTCTATTTCTGCTACAGCTGGCTGAAAGGCAAACCGGAAGTGGTTCAACAACAGCAGCTGAACAAGATGTGGATAATGCTGACGATGATCGCGATGATGATGATGATGATGACGGCAGTGACGACCGGGACTCACCTGATTGAATGTCTTTCCGACTAAATGATCTTTCATTGTTGCCAACCTGGACGCATGTTATTTGATCGTATTTTAGTACACTATCGAAAGTCCAAGTCCCTTACTCTTACTCCAACTCTAGCGAATCACCTGAATGCGAGTCTGGTCTTGTCCAAATCGCCTGCAATTTATGATATCACTATTATTCAGAAATCACGGGATCAGGGTGAGCAATAAAGTACGGTTTCCGAAGGAAACTGGTTGCCTTTTTGCTAAACTATTTTTCAGTGGATGTTGCGAGAAGTGGAGGTCCCGAAATTGAACGTATGGAGTACCACGTTCACTTTAGATAGGTCATAACGGCAATTCAATCAGTCGAATATGTTGTGAATTCCGTCTTTTGAAAGAGGCAAAGCATACTTCACTGAGCCGATGCCTGTTTAGGTGTAGTAGTAAACCATTCTTACGCAATGGTGTGCCTCGCACGGACTTGGAGTGGACGCGAGTTCAACAACGTTCGGCATTCTAGCATGGTGAATTTCCAACTGTCAGCGCCCTAAACAGGCTCGCACTGCCATAGATTTGGTATAATAAAAGGAGTTAAATTCACTTGAAATGGGGCTCTCTTGGCTAATGGTAGATTTTGATCTACTGCTTTCGTAACTACGCAATCTTCATACAGTAAACAAGAAAGTGTTCAAGAGTCTTCTCTAGAGGCATGGATAACAAGGTTGATAAACTTGACGGAATCGGACTAGTTCGTGCGTTTCTTAAAGGTTAGATAGCTGCATAAGACTTTCTAAGGTAATTTACTCATTAAAATAATCACCGAAACTTATTATCCTCTCCTGTGGAGGCAAACCTGCAAAGAATTTTTCTCAATGCTCACCGAGTCCTATCGATCACGTGGCTGGCTCTTAGCCGTGCTTGATGTTTGACTTTTCAAAAGTGAAAAATTGCATCTACAGTTCACCCCACCTTAGAAATTTAGTGTGGGCTAGATCGTATGGGAATAATGAATAATATTAAATCAAGTTCGGCTCGTAAAGCAGGTAAATTCTAGGTGGATCCTATGACGGCGGGTTAAAAGTGGGAAAGTAGTGCAACGAGGTACGCCCATGTCACTTATGTTGCATGTATTTTACAGTCCACTCGATAGAATGAGTAAGCTGAGGAAGATCGTTTCGAGGCAATGACTTTAACGTGATTAGAAACACAAGATCTATTGTTGCTAGATTGACTGTCGTACGCAAGGGATTAAGTACATTTATTCACAGCGTACTCCATTTAAAAGTTGTAGTTTTATTAAAATAAGCAATCTATTTATATCAAAAAGGAGAGCTCATTTACAGCACGCAAATTGCCATAAGCAACGATAAACAGACCACAATGCCTCAGCCTTCAAGATAAACCACTTTAGCTTCACTCTGGCAACTGTTCTGCAAAACCAGCAGTGTCGCATCAACCCAACCGCCAACACAAGCAGTCCAGGCCTCTTTAATTTCCTCAGCGGCTTTGACTCGCTCCTCCACAGTTGCACCTTTGAAGACGGTTCGTAAACACGCACGAAAGGAAGGGAAATGGGCTCCAATCAAAGCCTCAACACCACAGGTCGAGGACACCGCAATCACACGTCCTGAGAAGTCAGCCAACTCCAAAAGAAAAACTGGTAAAACGTCAAAGCTAGAGGTGGATTCGCATTCACAGATGTGCCTGCGAGGGGAAAGAACATTCGGAGCATTTGGAGGAAAGGTTGATAATCTAACAACGAACCAGTTAGCCAATTAGCAACTTGCCGATCATCGTCTTGGATTCTTTTAATTCTGCAGCAAGTTCCACACTTAAGAAGAAAGTGATTAAGAATGTTTTCCGATTTTGAGGGAACAACATCAACAACCCATCCGCAGAATCGAATACGAACCGGGAAGGAAGAGGAGGACTCGCCAACCGCTCCAAGATCTGTGGGATTGTGCCCGTTGAAGACCACGTAAAATTGTGCTGCTGTCAGCTTAAGGGATAAATTGAAGGAGAATAGTCCAGCGAATGAGTGAATCCTTTCTGGAATATTAAGTTAGGGAATAAATACTCGTTTGCAGTTTGGTCAGCAGTGGTGGATACATAACACTTACGTTCAATCTCATTTCAACCGTCATTCATTTGGTTTTAAAAGCTGTCACACGTAAACACTTGCTACCAGAGTCTCGGTGAAAACCAGACCACCAAAACCCAAGTTTTTCGTTGATCCCAATATGACCCCAATTGTTATTGCCTTGACTAGTTCAACTGCTGTCAAAGGACACATGTAACCACCACCGGACAAAGAAAATCCCACATCACTTTTATTGCTATCGAACTCCATCAATCTGTTAGTGACACGATTTGATGCATCAATTCCAATACTGTCTCATCCTCCATATTTCCCTCACTGACATTCCCCCAAGTGGTGCATGCTACCTTTTCCTAGCATTATACAATCAAATGAGAAATAGATTGTTTAAATCCGATTCAGCTGTTTGTGACACACGATTTGGTGGATTCAGTTATCATAATCCAATAGAGAACACAGGTCACATACTTGTGACGTCGGGCTCAGCCAAGAAAACCGGGATGGCACATATACATGATTTGAGATGGGGGTGCCAATAAACAATAGCAAGGTCGCAAGCGTGGGTAAAAATATGCCCAGGATTTATGCGTCGGAATACATTTAGAAAAATGATTATAGTCCTGTAATTGAGGAAGGTACTGAAGAAATTAGCGGCGTTCCTATGTGGAATTTACACTGAAAAAGCTATCGGGTTTCTGGCAAAAGCAGTCGAAACCTATTCTTCCCTCACTGTAGTTTGGGTGATAACAAAGCAGTGGTAGAGATGCCCATTTCTCCAGTACACCTGGATAAATTGAGTGATAAAAAGTGTCCAGTCGGATCAGTTAAACATGTGGCAGGATTGGAGGTGGGGAGTGGCAAACAATGCAGACCATTCTGGAAATATAGAAGCACTTCTAAAGTGGTACACATTCTTGCGTCAATCACTAGAATAAGAATAGTGTCAAATCTAGATAGTTATGGAATTGCATGGGATAATACAGTTGATATCCACAAAAGTACAAAAACGTAGACCAAACTCATGAGAAATACCCTTGAAAATGAAGACAGAACGGATTACAGTTAATATGAAACAGCAATTTCAAACCATTTCTAATCGGGAAGTCCACCCATTTTTACGAAAAATTAGGCAGCAATTAATGTTCAAAATAGCATACTAGTAAGATGAACCAATATCATGCTGATTCCATCCAACCAGTTGAAGTCGTTGCAGTATGGCTATAAGACCTAACAATCTTCCAATTGTTAAACTCAAAATTAATTAAAGTACTAAAGGGAACGATTTGAATCCTCACCATACGCAGGCAGTCCATGTCCTGTGACAATGAAGCAGCGTTTAGCGGTTGCCGCGCCATTCTACCTAACCTCAGCCTCTCCAGTAAATCCGCTGAAGCCGTTTCCTCTGTCAACAACTCGATTCTACGTCCATAACGATGCCCGCCTCCATGCATGTCCACTTTGCGTTTATCAGGCTGTAGGAGAAAAAGAAAAACATGAAGCCTTCGTCCATTATCTCTACATAAAGTCCTCAGAACACGCATTAGCGCACATCGCATTTAGCGGTGCAGTGGAGGTTGTGGAGGCGTATAAGGGTCCCAGGTTTCAGGGACCTGACAGACTCTGCATGTTCGTCAAAGATGAAGACGCATACAGACCAATCGCCCACTTCTGGCAGAAAGGAATGTCTAGTTATGCAGATAAGTCTGGGATCCATCTGGAATCCATCTTGGGAAGGTGGGTGCTCCAAGTCCGAAAGTTTGTAGAAAGGAAACAGATCTAAATCATCCCTGGGAGGCTCACCATCCCATAGACAGAGGATGAGATCGTTGGTGACTTCAGTTGGATAAGTGTATATTGCGACCACCTACAGAAAAGAAGCTAGTAATAATTAACACAGATATGAAAATATTACTGCTTTACAAGTTGTGGCATTACCAATGCGTAAAATGTTAACGAAAAAAATTAACCTGGGCTTCCGTATTGAAAAATGAGTTCACCTTGACCGAGTGAATTCGAGAAAGATTGTGCGTATCATGTTCCGCCTGAGCCTAAGAAAAAAATGAGTGTTTTCTTATAAATAACCTTATAAGGGCTCAGCGATTGTGGAGCCTCCTTTTCAAGGGGACATTCGGGTGAATTATACCAAGTCCGCAGTTCCTTCACTCGAGACAAATCCTTATCAGTAAACTATAACAAAACGGTTTATGAAGAAATTATATTATACAGTGCAAGTGGAAGTAGATTCGTAGGGAGCTAGCGACGAGTCCACTGTGCCAGGAAAAACCGCTACAGCAAAACCGGCGTTTTCTGACCCGTAGCCTTGCAATCGTCCACGAAAAGTCGATACGCTTAATCGGTGCATTATTACAATGTCTCCTGGAGAATGTATCTAACGTCGAAGGTAAACATCAGTTGTAAATCACACAAAATTAAAATTACAGGAGGTAGTTTATCGACATTGTTATTAATAACGGTGACACTGAATTTGTCTCCCTTCAAGGATGGATCACTTATGGATACAAACATAGAAAAGCCACTGCCCCGGGTTTTCTGAGGAGGCTTAAAAAATTTGACCACAGCAATTATGTTGTGACGTCCCTCTGTGATATTTCGCAAATCTACGAACTCATATTGATGTTGTGGAGGCACATCAGAAGAAGCCATTTCGGTAATCCCAATTGTCTTCAATGATTAGCACATGCTTCAAATTACAACAGAAAAAAGTCAATTAATAATTGACCAACCATGAAATAACTACATTCAAATAATCAGCATCTATCTATATCAATATATGTTAAGGCAAAAATGAACGCATATAGAAGAGCACCAAACATAGGACTGAAACATCAACGTTAATTAGCATTCGTTTACGGCTGCAAGGTTTCACCATTTTTCCTAGAAACGTATCCAAGCAAAGTGGCAAGTAGATTAATGCAAGCACATAGACATAATAATCCACGAGGAAATCCGACATTTAGCAAAAATTAGACAGGAAAAGTTGGCAATGCCCATTAAACAAGGTGTTTTTGACAAACTTGCTCCACAAGCTACGCGCCGTAGCATATATTCATTTCAATTTGCCCCCTTGGTGACATGCTACAAGGGGGCAAAACCTCGTGCCTGAGCTATATTATCGATTTCCAAAGGAGGACTGGAAGTGGATACCCCATGCAATTTTAGGAAATCACAAGGCCCTAACGCTAAGCAAAATGTCACTTATCAAACAGCCGCCTCTATAAACATGTGTAAAACCAAAAAGGTCGCGAAAACAGCGAAAATGGGGCTGCCATTCCTCATCACTCCTCTTTTCTTTCTGCAAATACAACGATTGGGTCTAGGGGCTTAAACTAAAAAAGACGTCTACTACTGTGTGGGTTATGTAGAGCGACACTGGTCGTACCTTTCCAGGAACCAGTGACATCTGCCTAATCCGGAGGCTGACGCACCATGACACCCAAAAACCATAACATGCTACCAAAGCAGCACCCTATAAATGCGTGGAAAAGCCGAGCAGGTATAAGAGGGTAAGAAGCTGTTTATTTAGTCAGGCGAAATAAACGCGATCGCGCCCCGTTTACTGTAACGTTAGTGTGTCTATAATCAAAAGTGGCAAACAACTAGTAATAAGGCATTAGTAAGTCATACAATTGGTAGATTAAACAAAAAATGCAAAATTTTGCACCTTAATGCATAAAGTAACGTGTTTGTCAGATTCCCTGGAAAAATTTTTGAAAATTTGTATAAGATGCACCGAGTTGGCAAAAAGTACCAGGGCAACAAATGCGTTTTTACGTGAAAACTGTATAAGCAAGTCACATTTAAAAAAATACAAAACCTTGGGCGTGTTGTTTTAAAGAATAAGTAATAGTTGTACTTTTCGGCGTTTATCCAACTTTGTTTGGTTTTTGGTGTCCGGTGCTGGACCTCGAGTTGCGGTTTTAAGCATACTTGCAGTTTTCCTTACCTTTAAAAAGTAGATTCCATTTAAATTTAGCACTTGCATAGATGATTGTTTGCTGTCAGAAGGAGACCTGTGTCATCAACGGGAGTGGATATTAAAAACGCTGATGTTTGTTCTGTACATATTTTAGTCGTGCAGAAATTACTAATATGCACATTTAATTGGCTGTTTTTGAGCTTTTGGACTTTTTGTACCTGTTTTTTTTGACGATCTATCTCTTTTGCCACATCTTTTAGATTTATTTTACCAATCATTATTCGCGGTTTTTTTTGCTTAGCGGCTTTTGTTTACTACCTATTTGTCTTCAAATTATGTCTTTGCTTTAAGTAGGGTGTATAGTACCTATTTATACCTATTGAACCTGTCTTGTATTTATAGTTTCCATAATCGGATGCTGCATTGTAAAGTTTGTGGTGGTGATTTATTATTTGGAGATACTCTGCTCTCATCGAATCGTACTTCCTGTAAGTGCACAATGCAGTTTCCTCCGCATTTTGGCGAGAATTCTAGTGAAGGGTTGGAATTATTGCATCTTCAAAATCGCCAATTTGAAATACTAGTGAGTTAGTGTGCTTGTTATTTATCCGTTTTGTCTTATGTAAGTTTTCAAATATAAAATTGGACCACTTCAGCACTCCTAATTTCTACATAGTAATTGTTTTTTTATTATTCGCGCCTAGGATAACGTTACAGAACTAACCAAAAAAATGCGTTCTCTTGATGCTTCGAAACCATTGGAACACGATGTTGTTGACCATTTGAAAGGCAAAATGTCAGCAGTCCATCAGCCTATCAGCAAGACCTTGACTAGTATTCCCCGGCGAAATCCATTCCTATCCAAACGCGCAGGTGCGTGGAAATTTGTTTTTTCCTGAAGTTCTTAACTACCTAATCTTAATTTCTTGAATTTTCTTTGCTGCACGTTTCATGTACTTGAGAAATCGGTAAAATGTGGAGGCATTACTAAAAGCTGCAAATGGTTTGTGCTTCGCTGATTCCTTCCATTTTTTGGTTTGCAATTGAGTTGATTTACTGTATTAGTATTACTGGTAGAATAAGAATTTGAATTTCATAATTTTATCAACAATGCGCTAACTTCAAATGTCAGTGCTTAATTTTGGGAAGGTCCTTAAAAAACAAAGCAATCATGCATGTTTCAAACTTTTAGTAGGCAGTAAGTTCAGGGAAAAATGTGATATCTTAAATTTGAAGCAGTTTTATTATTTAGTAGTGTTGTATAGTTGATCCCTTGCGTCAACTGGTAAAGTTGTTTCATCGACTCTTCAAGTTCTAACAGAGAGTGTGGTTTCCGAATCATTATTTGCTTACCCTTGAACATTTATTATCCATTTTTAGTAGATTACTGCATATTTTGGGTTATATTAATCACCGAGACCCAAATATTTTAAGTGATTGTGGCATGCCTTCGGCCTGGTTGTGAATGACCCTTACCTGCTAAAACTGGTTTAAGTGCAAATTTATATTTAGCAATGTAATGTTCAGCTAATAACAGTTGTTAATAAAAATATCTAGACTCATTTCATAACTGCAAAGATTCAGGTGTTCCTGGAAAGTTTTCTTTTGCGTTAATAAGGTGGATCTCAACATTATTTACGTAGATTAAATTATGCTTACTCTCTTTTGTAAGTTAGAGCTTATTTAAGTATTTATATGGTTTTCTTTCGATAGTGGAAAGAAAAAAATTACACGCTATTATCTGAGCGACTAAAAAAATTGTTGCATTTTTTGATAAAGTGCTACAATTCCGTCTTTTAACCTCTAGAACCTTTTGAAATGCGATTGCTTGTATGCACATCTTATAAAGAATAGATGTGCGCCAGTTCACAGATATGATACTCTTTGTACTTTTTATCTCTCCGTTACCTTTAAATGCCCATGGCATTGCATTTTGGTCGATTCTGATGTATGTTATTGAAGCTTACTTTCTCACGAAACGAAGTCACCTCCATTCCAAGGCTACGGAAACTGGTTTTTCCTTAAATATGGTATCTGACATTTGAAGGAGGTGCCGTCGTAAAGCATGTAATCCTAATTGCAAATTACTCAAAGATAGATACATTGTAATCGTTATTGAAAATATTAAAAGGCCTTTAATAAAGACCGTCGTAAGCCTCTTGACTGCCTAATAACTCTTATTTATGAAATCAGTAAATATTCTCACACGTTATAATTTTAAACAGGGCTTACGATTATGTTCTTCTTCTACCAATAATGATATAGTTTTATTTTTACTCACTTGTTTAGTTTCACCCTCTTCTGAGAAAAAACTATCGCAACTGACGCATTATGGAACAAACTCCAATGCTGTCGATCAAGCGGAAATGCGGCCAAGCACTGCTCCTGGAGGACCGATAAGCGAATTGTACTTTGAAAGGGAGAGCGTATTGTTTCCTCAATTATTAAACCTTGACGATATATTTATGAACATTTTAGTGCGGATTTACGGGGCATACGTGAGGAGATCGCAATGTTGCACAGGAAATTTGATGAAGAGCTAAAGGTTTCTGAAACCTTTTTTATAAATACTCTATCTTTCTCTCTAATAGCTGTGGATTTTCTTAACAGACTGATTTTGTTTCCAAATAGAGCATGCGCGACGTCTTGAATAATAACATAGTTGGAATGGCTAGGCTTTTTGAAACGTCTAAGGCAGCAGCAGAGGTGAGTGGTCGATTATTTGAAGTGGTTTGCTAAGTGTTTTACTATTCAACGGAAAGTGCAGCACTTTCCGGTTTTGGAGAGATATTATGGTTGCATTTTGTCAGACTGAGGGCAAGGAAAATACAGCGCCTGGAAGCATCCTAAGCGGGGCTCAGCAAGCTCTCCTCGATGCCACTAGGCGTAGGAGGATGTTTGAGACCAGCGTGGCGAATTGTGAGAGATCACGTGCACAGCGTAATATCTTCGACATTCTGGAACACTTAGATGAGTTAGTTTCCTTTGATTCTGTTCAATGATGACACGTTGTTTATTTTTTTTCATGGTGGGAAGGTATAGCTTTCTAAATTTATTTTCATAAATTGTGTTTTTGTTCCACGGACTTATGTATAAGTAGCATCAAGCTATGATCCCTAGCGTGAGTTACAATGAAACAATTTGTTACGTACACCAACCAGGAAGGGGAAGTCATGGAATGGGCTAGTGAGTCCTACCCACATGCTTTGGCCAATTTAAGTGAGTTTAGAGGTCTATCAATTCTTTCTTCACTCTACAAAACATGCCCATGAATGTAATTTTTCCCGTCTAAATTGTAATGAGAAACGGCTCTTTCTTATTCGAGCTTCCGTTAGAAAAATTAATAAAACGTATTTATCTCTAAACAACCCAATCAATACTAACCCTACACTTGGCCCCTCATTCCTGCAGGTGATTATCACTGCCTTGTGATGTTGGACGATCACAGGTGAAATAGAATGGATAGGTGGAAGATGGAATCGAGGTTGAACTGGTGGCGGTTGGGGACAGATTTTTACTTTCTGTTTGTGTATGGCTTTCCGCAGTTATCCTATTTTTATTATTTGGTTGCCTTACACTACAACCTTTTGTGGATGATTGCCATTAATTCCTTGAACAGATCAAATACTGAACTACAGTTCAACTTTGATGTCTTCTCTATGATTTTTTAGTGGAGACAGTGATGTTCTGCGTATGAGAGCCCTGCTTGACGATGCAGTGAATAATTTGGAAATCCCTCAGAAGCCAGTGAGTTAGTATGCCCGATGTTACTTGGCTGAATTTATTTTATCCCAATAAAACTAAACATTTTGGTGGCTTCTTAGGCCAACTCGATGTTTTCAACTGGGCCATTATTCACTTTACTTATTTCTGAAATAAACAGAAACCAATCTCCCCAAAAATTCCGAATCTATCCAGTCGTCTCGCCCGTTTGAGCGCTCCAAAACAATCCAAAGTTGTCTCAAGTAAACCTCAGAAATCTTCCAATCAGCGCCCTTCATCATTACCTCCCACTTCGACAGCAGCAGTGACGACTTCTCCACGTGGAAGATCTACTGGTCTTGCAGATCTTGTCGATTTCTCCACTGTCAAAACCACCACTGCGCCTCTCATGAAGCGATCCAAAGTCATTCTTCAGTCGAACATCTCTCCAAAAGGTATTTTTCGTTATGTTAATTCCCAAGTGATGGGTTTTTGCAATTTTGGTGAATTTGACAACCACTTCTAATGCATAATTTCAGTGGATTCTCCGGTTACAAAACATGGAAAAACTGTTCGCTTTGAGGAGACGTGTTTCCGACCAAGGAGCACACTGAAGGCCATGCCATCCGCTCTTTCATCAGATAAAAAGAAGGCACCAGTTTTTCTGCCCTTAGGAATGCGTCAGTACTCCATGTGGCCCACGGAGAAACTCCAAGTTAGTATATGATGAAACCGTAGAATAACTTTTAATTGATTAGTTTCAAACATCTTTTACAATCCTTTCTCAGATGCTCACAACACCTCCAGTTCTTCAAACAACCACAGCGGCAACAATGGCTGCAGTTGATTCAGCTATGGAGGATGAGACATTGACACAAGCTCTGAGACAACTGCTTTCGTCCTCTGCATCTCAACAGCCTCAGTCCGCCAGTGAAGGTGGTTTAAATTCTATTTACATTATTTCTTACTGCTCTGTATTTACGTCCCTTGCTTTTTACTCGAGGATCACTATGAATCGTGGTATTTAAGGATGTTCTTTTTGTTATCCAGCTAAATTGACACCAGATGACTTGAAAGAGATGTTGGATGCTGCACTAAAGAATCACTTGGAGCGCCAGATGCCACCAACTGAACTCCCTCCAATCCGTCCACAACTTCAGGACGTTAATGTTGGAATATGTAGACAAGACTTCATGAAGGAGGAAGCGTTAAGTCCGATCCATGCGCCGGGAAAATTTGCGTTAATTGACAGGGCCTCCAGTCCAAAAGTACGTGCTTTGCAATTTGACGATCTCGCGGTCACTTGAGTGCGCAACTGTTAATCACCCACACAGGGTCTGACCGTTTCTGGGCCTAGGAGAAATGAACCACTTTCGGTCTTGCATTCCTTTCTTGTAGTCCATAACACAGCCAACAAAGATGGTTTCACGTGGGAACTCAGTCAATTCCGTTAGGAAACCACGAAGCTCATCTTTACCTTCAATAACGTCAGAGGTTGTTGTAACGTCGGAGAAATTGCAAACGGGGTAAGATAACAGTTGACGAATTTTTATCTTACCAATGGGCCATTGCAAAGCTAATAATTAGTTGTTTAAAATTGTAGACTTTATTAGTCATTGCCTTTTGTTGAATCTACGAATCGACCGTGCTGCAAAAAAAATTTGGCGAAATGTCTATTGCTCATTACCTTATCAGTATGCTGAATGTGTGTGAGCGGCAATATATTCAGACCTATACCGGAATTTACATTAACGATGGCAGATTTTTACATGTATTTTTATTCAAATCCCACCAACATTATTTTAATTCATAGATCAATTACTGAAGCTGAAGCTAGCACCGAATTTCTAGGTGGCGGATCAAATTGATACCGAGAGTTCTACAGAAAAATCAAATTACCCTAATGAATGGTGTGTTTGCCGATTTTTTGATATAGCCTTTTGGGTCGCTTCTCTGATTTTGAATGAGTTCCATACTTACAGCGAATACGAAGCTACGGAAGACCTTGACGCCAATAGATCTGAAGTTTGCTTTGACACCTGGTGTGGTTGCTAACTTTGTGTTCGTTACAAGTTCGTTCAAAAGCCATAAAGGATTTAGATGTTTTCACCCGACTGTGTTATTATTTTAGGGATATTTCAACTATTCAAACGGAAGTTAAGATCACACACCCGTTAATGGTTTCAAACAACCGGTTGGTTAAAGCATGTCAACTTTATTTGCTTGGGGTTTTATCGAGACCCTTTAAAGGCCTGATTTTTATGCAGGGTAACTGATGAAGTGTAAATTGATCCTTTTCTTACTTAGATATTTGAATTAAATTTTGTCTTACTATGTATTTATTTTACGCCTAATTTTACCGTTTTGAAAGACACTCTGCCACCTTAAACAGTCATGTCCTACAAAGCATTCCGTCTATAGTATTTGCTTTTTGTATTGATGCGTTACTTAAACTTCAATTTCGATCTGGTGGATGTTCCTTCTAAAGTTATTTATGTTACGCAGATGTACTTCTTCACTCCGGCTTTCCGTCAATGCTCCTGCACCAATTCTGTCCGTGTTTTGCTGTTATCGTTAATATTGTAGAACTTTTGCATTTCTTTTTTGAGTTCAATCTTTTGCCTTTATTTAATGACAGAGTATTTATTGTTGCATATTCGTCTTCTAGAACACAATCTCCAATCCTAGCGGATGCTGGAGAGGTTTCTACGCCAGGGACATTGACCAAGGATGAAGAGGGAGAGGAAAGTGAAGAGGGAGATGGTTTCAGTTTGACGGAACCGCACACCTTCAGTGATGGCGTCTGGCTAGACGCGGATCGATCTGAGGGCGAAGCAGGAGGAGTCGCCATGTTTGAAGCCGAAGAGGCTGCAGATTTGGCGAGAGAACTGGGTCCCTTACCTTCTTCAAGTGATACAGTGAGTATCCTTTCGTGTGACAAGTTAGACTTTGGTTTCTCACATTGATGACATTAATCAATTGGTGTCGATTTGTTTCTATTCAGTCCGAGTCGACAAATTTGACATCAGAAGCTACAAGAGGCCACAGTGAAGGCGAATTTACTCTGGATCAAATAAACCACCAACTAGGTGTTTGGGTAGCTCCTTGGCGAGATCCTCTCCTCCATCTTATCGCACTTAATGCGGCTGGAAAAAACTCAAGATTACCCTGGAATCAGCAGCACAAGGTATTCGAACACTTTGAGACCAGCAGTTTTCATTTCCCCATACATTCCTAATTGTCCATCTCTCACTTACATGAGGAAGCAAAGGTTAACAGAATATTCTGATTAGATGGTTGGCTTTCGTTTACCGTTGGAATTATTTCATATGAAGAACGTGTTTGTTAATGTGCGTCCTCGTAGTTTGGATATTTAAATATGAAAACTTATTGCTTTTACTGTATGGGCTCATGCTGATAATAGAAGCGGGTATAGTAGCATTGGACTGTAAGTTTAAAAGTGTTTTGGTTTCAGATTCAAAAGCTTGCTCAAATACTAGCGCGTCGTGGTAATAATCAGGCGCCAGATCCTGCCGAGGTCTGCTGCAGCTTCACCGAAGATCTCAGCTGCGTGGAGGGTATTGCATCAAGGGTGGGTGTGAGTTCACCGCCTTCTACCCCGAAGAATGGGGAGAGGTCTGCTGGTGAGGTCGTCCTTCCCATTTCGGTAAAGCAGCAGCTACGACGGAGGATTCTTGCCAAATCGTCACAGAGAATGCGTCAACGCGATGCCAGTCTGTCTGACGGTGAGGTGATGGTAGAACTTTTTGTAGCAGTCTTTTGAGTGTCTTATTTTGGCCTGACAACCGTGGATTATGTTTATAGGTGTGATTTTGGGTATTTTTAAGAGAATAATGAACCTTTATAAGAATCAGATTTTGGTTTGATAATAACAGTGTAACCGATTGTCATTGTTGCTGAGCCGTGTTGGTAATTGCTACTTTTAACCGCAAAAGTAGCAATTACAAAATTACCGGTCAAATTGGTACTTGCTATTTATATACAAATTCATTGTTACGTTCTTAAAATGACTAATTCGCATTGTTGTATTTTTTCGCATCTGTTTCTCCAGGCAGCAACCATTCAACTTTTTCCAGTCGCTGACTTAGAGAAGTAAAGTGATGATTGATTTTATTCATGGCTTAGCCTCAATTTGTACTGATTTTTGGGAGTGTAGATGAGGAGGACACTTTGGGAGGGGCGGGTGAGGAGGTTCCCACAGAGAAGCAAGACCTTCTTTCGGCTGTGAAGTCGCTCTCCGATGAAGAAATTGAGGAGGTGAAGGACGATGGAATTGCTGAGCAAGGCTCATTGGAATCGCAGGTCGACTCCACTCCAAAAGGTGATTCAACTTTCGACATTGATCCCGGTGTTTCTTCAGAATTTTCCAAGGGTCCTCTTTGACCCTCCTTTCCCCCTCTCTCATTAGCTCTGAAAAAAATTGTGTCCTGTTTTTTTTTTCGATTTAATAACAATGCTTTTTAGAAGGTTTGAAAGAGAAGCAGAATTCATGCAGAAACAGAGTTTATCTTATTCACGTCTTGGATTACTTCCCGTTAAAGTAAACGAGCAATATCAAATCAACTAGTGTGTTAACTTATCATGTATGTTATGTCTCCCGTTATTAACACAAACGGCAGAAGGTGGGTTAGGATTTAATGCATAGAGGTGACTTTGTGACTCACTTTCGTGAGTTAGTTTACATGGAATTGCGTTAAATGCCCAAGTACTTTCCTACTAACTTCGGGAATGTTCGCTACCTGTGGGAACTTGCAAAGTACACGCAATTGTTTTTATGCACTATAGGGCGAGGATGTGGGATGGCCCATCAATGCCTTATTTTGCTTTCCACTCCCCATTTATTTTGAATCGAGCCCCAAATCATCTAAGTCATCTGGACGTATGTGATGAATTTAACTCGAGCTTGACAGCTTTATGAATCGAGCTTAAGCCGGTTGTAGAGTTTGGTGGGCTTTTCGACACTTTGTTGCAAAGATTTACAGAAGTAATTAGTGATGCACAATGACTTTTTTATTCCAACGTTCATTAGGGGAACGAGCATATCATTTGTGGACCCCAAGAAATCCACACACCGCCCGTACCGCATTTTTAAGGCGCCCACTATTTCGCTCCCCCAACGATTTTGCTTGTCATGTGGCTGTGATGGACAACCGTCTTAACTAGCCACTCGCTCGGAAGAAGGACAGTGCAAGACCTTACCGCCGCGAAATCCGCCAGCGAAAGGTTGTCATCCCACAATTTAGATGTGATGGAGAAATTACCCCATCTTCATCCTCAAGTGTTGCTCTATCTGACATTTACCCAAGTTATAATTACTAACTTTACTTGCCATTGCGCAGCTAGGTGATCACATGCAAGATAAAACAATTGGGAAATAGAGGGGAGATAGAAACGGTGATGAGGTTCTCCTGGAGATATCTACAACCTAAGAAAAACGCTGAACTTTTAACGTTCAAGAAGTTTTTATTTGTAAGTTGGACTTCCGGAGAATCTAGAAAGACTTAGACTTTTTTGAGTTCACCTCAGTATAACTTGGAGGCTGGTAAGGTAAGGCAAGGTCATGGCCATCCTATAACTCCAGCGTTGTGAAAGAAACCTCCCCAGGCACGCCTTACTCCCTGTGTCCTCACATTACCAACATTTAAGATCTCGTTTTTGCTGAAATCCTGTCTCTGGCTTACTCCGGTGTCCTTAACACAAGTTTGCTTCGGCTTCTAGAGATCAAACACACTTCATAAAAGCGGTGCATTTTCAACTACCTGTTGTGTTTTTAACATAAAAACACGTGAACTTACTTGGCTGTCTCTTGTCATGACCAATGGGACATAAACTTTACACGTATCTTTGGTACTTTGCTGAAGGTTTATAACTCTCATTGAAGCAACGGCAACTTTTCATCCAAATTGACTTTTTACAGCCTCCTCCAAGCATTGGGATGTTTGGAAAATGCACGCGGAAATTCGGAAACATCGAATGATCGAATTCAAGGAGGAGAAAGTAATAGCATAATCTACTGGAAATACATTAACTGTAACAGGAAAGTGCTTTAAATTAAAGGTTAAGTTCCTTAGTTTTGTCTAAGATGGGAAAAAAATGACGATTTCAAGGTTCATATGCCATTTCTCTCCATAAGTTTGTAATACAGATTAAGCTTGACGAATGTGATTGAAACTGTTATATAATTGAAATTATTAATTGTGTTCTTCACTTTTGGTTGCCGATTTTATATCAAGATGATATTATACAACAGTTACGTAGGATTTTACATCCGTACTTAAAAAAATCCGTCACGTTACGAAGGTGATTTAATACGATTGATCGCGGGTGTCAACGAGTGACTTTCATCATCAGTTGGTAGTGAAGCAGTTTTAGAGGTGGAAGAGACGCAACTGCCATTCTTCAAAGCTTTTCTTGACATGTTATTAAACATTCAATGTAAAACAGAGAACTTCCACATCAATTCCCTCTAACTTGGTCGGATTTGTCGGGAGACATTGTCTCTTGAGAGACTTGGTCTCCTAGTGCTCCTCTGAACTACTTATACGATTGGTAGTAGGAGGTATCCAATTCCGTCCGGGAGTTGCTTCACCCAATAGTGTTCCTGTACTTCATCTTCAACAACGTATTCAGTCGAAAGATTGTAAAATCTAAAATTGCAACTTGACACAAGACTGTCGATTTTTCCATAAGTGGATTAGCAATTTTTTGCCTAATAACACATAGTCTTCACATTAGTTGTAATGTACTCTGATTGCAGCTATAAGCTCATCCTTATCAGTATCGAAACATTTGCATTATTTACAGAAACATCTCAAAACAGATCATTAGAATTGTAATATGATAGTTGTTTGTTTAAACCCCAGTTTTGGTAACAGGGCCGTTAGGGCTCCACCATTTCACCCCCTCCCAGCGCCCTGGCATCTGGGTCACGCCAGTTGCCCCAATCCCCTCTGTATGTCGATAATACCTATCCCATTCAAGTGGCACGTCTTCATTCGTACTCAGGGAAGTCGTAGCGCGCTACAGGTATTTCTTGCCTAATTGCCCGGCAAAGGGTAAAATTACTTTGAGGTTGTAACAGGTCATAGTGGTGTAGAAGCATATTTCTCATTACACTTCAAAAGGGCTGAGAGGCCACAGGCAGGGCCAGATGGTCATGTCGCCAAGACGGAAATACAGGTGGCTACAATTCAATGCCTCACGCGGTTAAATTCGCTATTGAAACAACTAACACATAAACATAACGTTTATATGTACATACGCCTGATGAAAACAGGGAACACGGTTTTCTTGCTTGATCAAGGTTACTGATCATTTTGTAACAGATTTGAAAAACTTGACATGTGAAAAATCTTTCACTATTTAAGGTCACTTGAAGAAGTATCGAAGCTGTTTTGACTCTGGTAGTTAAGCACCTCTCCCCAAGTCCATTTCATCTGAATTTCTCAGTGGTCCATTTTGTAAGTTGTCACGTGATCACCCAATCCCAAGAATCAAATATCAATTTAAGTAAAAACAATTTATGATTCTGTTTGCGCCTTTAGGTAAGGACGAATATGACGAGTAATGAACCTATTTCTCCCAAATAGATTAGTTCTTCGTATAGCTTGCCAGTCAAAGGGGGAGATTTTCAGAAGTAACGAGCAGACAAAAAGGCGCTGCCCTCCAAAGAGAATGCATTATCTTTGACCTCCTCTAGCCCTTAAGTGTAACTCATACAAAGACTTGTTAAGTCTGAATCAGAAGTGTGACCACAGCAAGCAAGAGAAAGGGCGCCATGGTTAGCCAAATATTTAACAACGTGGCCAGGTTAGTCTTCATGGTTTGTACCTTCGCTTTATTCCACAGCCTTTCCTCACTCTACTGACGCATTGGGCGGCAAATCTGGTATTCGTATTAACAATATGTATTAGTTGCTTGAGTTACTGAACAAACGCCTTGGTGCTTACAGGGATTTCGAATTTGCTTTTTGATGAAGTCTTGTTACATCGGTAAAGTTTCCGCCCGCATTTTTCCAAGCGCCTCGAAACAGCCGTTTATTTGACTGCTGCATAGTAAAAGTGTAAAAAAGTAACTTTTACATAAGCATTCACATAAATCTTATGCGAAGCACTTCATTTAAGTGTAAAACTTTAAATGCTACCAAAATAATTGATAGCATGGAGGTGGGAAACGTGCACAATGCTTCTGTACCTATCAATTAATCAAAGGTTTTGTACGAAATTCACTTAATAACGTTGGGTCAGTTAAGCAATTGTGGCACTTTTGAATTTTACAGTATTTTGATGCTTGAGTAGCTTGTTTAGCTCTGCATTTGATTACGCGGGTACTTAAGTTGCTACTCAAACGTTATAGCCTCCGTACTTATTAGTTTTAAAATTTCTTTCAAATGATTACTCAGTATCGTTTATTAATAAATAGCCAAGGTTTTCGAAAGTACTAATTAAAAAATAGTGGTTTTTTGGAATATGTATTACTTGTGCTCCCCTTCGGTCACAAGTCAATCGACTTTGATCGAACGTCTCTGTCCTCCTTCATTTCACGCTCATCTTCCGGCGCTCCCCTTTCCTCCTGCATTGTGGTTAGCGTAAAGGAGCCGGTTATGGGTTCTGGTCGGTACGGATACGGCTTCAGTCCGTGGGACCTCGATCCCAAGTGAACCTCACTGTCTGTGCAGTTTGCGATTTGTCGTGTGAGCTGCCCTCTATGCCGATTGATTCTACGACGCGATTCCTCGGGTAAGGCCGTTTCGATCGACTCGTGCTGTCGCGCATACAAATCCATTGTTCTTGCAAAGGTCGCCTGCGTACGACTCAGCTTTGCAAACTGTGCCCTTTGTGCCGATGCAAAATTGCCATTTTTGACATGCCCATACGCAATTTCTGGGCCTATGCTAGATAAGGCTGCTAGTGTTAGGCGGCGTTGATGTTTTGTGGATGGTAGACTCGGTGAAAGTAATATGTCAGGTATAATTTTGACGCCGATTTCAGCTGTTTTTGTTACCTCTTCCCTGCTCCCCTCACCACGACCGCTCAATTCGCTGGGTTCTGAAGGACCATGTGCTCCTATGGCCTCGGAGTGCATCTGAAGTGCTAATTTTGCATAAGCATTGACAATTTTCATTTCATGTGTGGCGGCATCCCGTTGCAGTATGGGTCGGATGTACTTATCGTCGAAAGCGGATAATGCACGCACGAAGGAGTGCACACCAGGAGATGATATTAACTCTTCAATGAAGATGAGAATATCCTCCATCACTGAATCGTTTAGAGTTAGGAAAAGATTCCTCGCGGAGTCCTTGTCTGAGTATAGGCGAATGTTGAGCAATCGAACCAATGGTTTGATAGTTGTTCCCATCACTGCCACAGTCAAGAAAATAACAGCAATGGCAGCGGTCACTTGAACATCCCTTGCAAGATGTGACCCGTCTCCAAGACTTTCAGCATTGATGAGAACAGCTAATGAAAATGCTACAGCTCCACGCAGTCCTCCATAACTGATTATGACTTGTTCCGACCACGATATTCGAGTCTGCTTGGAGCGATTTTTATTTACAATTGCTGATAGTATTCCAGTCACAATGAACCGAACAACAATGCAAAGCACCAAGGAGGTGATTAGAAATCCAGCATGCCATCGAAGGTTGAGTGCAAAAACTTCAGAACCCAGAAGGAGGAAAATAATGGCCTCAGCAATTGACGCTACCTGTTCCACAGCCGATTCCAGTACCATGACGGATAGTGGTGTGAGATTATGAAAAGCGTAAGCCGATTGAAACACCCCACAGACTATAATGGAGATTATTCCAGACCAGGCAAACAAATCGGCAACGATATAGGCCAAATAGCTAGTTAGGAGGATGCCAATAGTCTCGGAGACCACATTGAAACGAGTCAAGAAGCAGGAGAATATACCATGAAGAAGCCCGATCATAGCACCTCCTAGACTAACGGTGAAGAAGGACCCAATGCCCACTGCTACCTGCCATCCACTCACGGTTGGGGATGCTACGAAGGCACTCATTATGTTGTAGAGCACAACTGTCACAGCATCATTCAACAGTGATTCACCGAAAACCATGTAATACAGGTTGAGATCGACTCCAATATCTTGAAATATCGCCAACGCAGCCACTGGATCTACAGCAACAATGAGTGATGAGAAGAGGAAAAATTCCTTAATTCCAAAGTAGAGTTTAGGCTCGCCTAGGCCAATTGTTATGTCCACAACATAAAGCCCTAAACCTATGAAGAGGAAGTTGAGTACGGTTCCAATTACAGCAAAAAGAAGAATGGTTGTAAGAATTTCACCGAATTTCTTGTTGTAGATACTATAGGCTGATTCAAGCATGATAGGCGGTAGAAGGACATTGAAAAAGAGGTTCGGTGAAAGACGTAGTGTATTGGCATATGTGCATCCGCTATCGGTGTAGCGAATAATCGCACCGAAGGCCAGCCCCACCAACATGAGTAGAAGGGATTCGGGGAAATAGGATCCTAGGTGAGGGACTTTCCGGTAGCCAAGTTTAAGGAGCATGACTACCAGCATGAAAAGTGTCACTGTGAGGTAAATAGTCAACTCCTCTAGCTTGAAACCGGCAAGCGCTATTTCCGAATGCTCCTGGTGGGAAGTGTTTAATTCCTTTTGGAAGCAGGATTCGTTAAAGCCACCCATAGTTGTATTCCGGTTGCCCATGATTTTAAAATTGGCTGCTTACATATGATTACATTTGGTGGGAAGTTTCCTATCGGGGATGGCCAGTGGGAAGGCGATTTGCCAGTTCCTTGTGATGTCATTGGGCCGTACGATGGGGATGCACACTAGTCGCCTTGGCCAATAGAGCGGGCATGTGGTCGTTAAATTTCCTCTTACCAGTTATAAACTCCATTTAACTGACCTCTTTCTGTTGAGGACACGGGTCTGTTCACTAGCAGGTGACCATTTCAAAAATTGCATGCATTACCACTAGAAGTGGTAAAATTTATCACCACTGCAAATTTGTTCAAAATGCCATCTCTTTCGTGAAGGATTAGTAGCAGTTTCAGAGTGACAACTTATGCAAAATGGCTTCTTTAACGAGAAAAAAACTGCAATTTTTTGTTCCAATATTTATTTTGATGCTAAAATATCTACCGAACAAATAATCCAGGATTCATTTCCAGAAAGTGGAGCATCAAGTGAGTCACCCCAACCGTCATTTTGGTGAAGCTACGGTAACAGGGTCTCTGCCTACCAGTGTCGCGTATGCTTGACATGCAATAGTTACCGCTTTATGATAACTGAGTAGTTAAAATTGAGTAGAACATATCGTTTTTAAACTGTGATGGTAGATTCTTCTTTCCAGAGGTTGAGATTTAGTTTCATCGCTGAAGTCCAATGCTTTCGGACCTAGAGTGGTAGCAGTGAAAGAATTAGGGAAGGATCAGGGTGGTTTTTAGCAAAAAGTACTCGCGATACACCCACAAACACGTGATGGGGGCATTCTGTTTGCCTTCGTTCCACAACACATGGTAAAACTTAGCGCCTGTCCGAATTAGGACCTACTTAGGAATTACTACGCAGGCTATTTATCCTTCATTGAGTGTACCAACGTGCAGGCGCCATTACACTCTTCCCTACAATACTAATAAGTTAAAATATCAACTTAATGGAAAGTGTTCTTCACAGATGAATAGATTCTTTCATTTTATTTACATCATATCTTGATCAAAGGCTAGTAATTAACTCGTGATTAATTGTCAAAGCAAATATGACCAGTTGGGTGGTCATTGAAAATGTGATGTTAGCCTGAATTAAGACCAAGTCAGGAGGGGAGAGAAGTTTGCATGCAATGTAAAGATTTTTGCAGGTCAAAATAATTAATAGTTTACTTTTCTGCTTCAATAAGCGGTTGGAAAGAAGCATGTGGTTTGTTCGGCCATTTGTGAAATTATTCACAGGAGAAAGATAAATACATATTGCCGTGGAATGGGTGGATATTGCGAGGAATGCGAAATCTGGCATTTTTAAATGTCAAGAAAATCCCAAAGTGCTTGCAGTGGACAGCATGGAGGAAACAAGTAGAAGTACAGCTCAGCCAATGACAATTAAACAATGCTAAACAAGTGGGCACGATATTCGGTAATAAGAAGCATATAGCTATGGAAATCTTCCTTGAGCATCTCACTCGTTGGTTTAGTTAACAAGACAACTTTTCATCTTTTCTCAGTGGAACACAAACTAGTTGTGAATTCTTGCTTTATACAGTATTTTCTTTTCGTCAATTGAGAAAAAGACTACCACTGGTTGCACCCGTTCCTAACTCACTTTTATTTTCCGTTTAACTTTTATGTCTTGGAAGATCATGTGATAATGCAAAGCCAAGAAAGGGTGTTGCTAATCACTTGGTGAGTATGAGGATAAGGCATCATCTTCCTTTTCCCTCTACCCTTCTCACTCAACCATTCAGGAGCGCAAAACTTCTCACAAGTCAGTTTTGCAATCTGTGGTTTGAGGCATGATTAATCAATGCTGGCAGTCTCCCAAGCTTAATATTTTGTTTTAATTATTTATTTAACTACCTAGGCGCCTTAGTCGACGCACATCGTATTTCCATTCGGCTGCATGGCCTTCGAGCTGTGCTAATAGTTCTCGGGCTTCTCTTTATTCTACTTTGATTTATTCCGACTTCGGACTTCCGACTTCACTATATACCCTATTTATCTTATCGCTAGGAATAGCTGAACGCATACCCCATTAAAATCTATTCCGTTCTGAGCTCCTGTTATACAACATCGACTTTCAGATGGCGAGTTAAACTTCCATGCTTAAATAACTTTGTATTAATTGCTTTTGTGCAAAGATATCGGCACTTCAACCACGCGAAAAAATCTTCAAAACACTTCTCCAAAGACGCATTTAAAGCCACTCTATTTAAGTGAATTATTGACTAGGAGGAATATAAAGTATTTTTTTGTTACCAAATTCCTTCTTCCAATTGTCAATTTATTTAGGTAATGTTTATGGGAAACTCAGTTTTAATTATTACATTCATGTTCATTTGCTTGTTTGGATCAAGTCGCATTAAAGTTCCAATTATGAAGCGCCAATTGCGGAGGCATTTATAATGACTTTTGGGTTGTAAGGACTCGTAGCAAAGTAAAAGTTGTTGAAAAAACGCAGTTGGTGCCCTCTCTTCATTTACAGACATCAGTCGGGCCTTCATTTGCCTTTAAATCTCCCCGGTTTTAGATATGAAGGTTGATTTTTAGAGGCATTTTTTTAATCTGCAAGGATGATTCCTTGACTGGACATTTGTAAGTACCGAGTGGTTCAACGTCTGTCTTTCTTCTGACAATGCAACATATTTTTTTGCAAATAACTTTATACAAGGTTAAATTCGTTAGAATGTGTTGCTCACTTGAAAGTGTAGAGGTGATCATTTCCAATTGATCATCCTCATGTACATAACCATCCAATACCAAAATTACCTGATATTTTTCAAATAGCAACAACCACGTAACCAATGGGCAAATTGTATTTACGCTTCCTGGTTATAAAGGTGTTTACAGGAGAAGGAATCTTCCTCCAGTGGCCCACATAAACGCGTGTATACCACACTGCTTGGTTCTTACAATGATGATTCTTTTTGGTCGTACATTCCAGGGGAGCGCTTTAAGCTTACTGGTGTTCGTGGTGCTAAGGCCATTCCTCATTCAACCAATGTACTTATAAATAACCCTTTAAAATTACACACTGGATTGCGTTTCTAAGTTTTAAGCTATTGAACCGAATCGTCCACTTGCTTACTCAAAGGAATGGCAAAATTGCTGGAGATCCCGAGCTTGTGCTTGTTAGATAAATGCCTAGTTGGTGAATTGATCCCATTTGTATTCATCTTTCAAATAGGCCTCAGATAATTATTAGCAAATTTTCTATTTGCTAAGAAGTCTCTCTTTATCAATAATAATTGCTTTATATTAAATATTTTTAGTTTGCCCTTTTTTTGCTGAATTTCTCACCAATATTTCCTTTCATTCCCGTAATTTGTGTTGCTACTTATTTTTTAATAGTAAAAACGTTAAAATGAGCATTTATATGATGGTCATTTATGTCCACAGCCCATGCAATCGTTCCGTCAAATAAACAACAAAATAAAACAAGATATAGATGACTTTACTTCATGTGGCTAAAATTTCTACTTTCATAGCGGACTTTCAAAAATATTTAGCCGCATTAAAATAAGATATATTGTAGGAAGATGGTGCAAAATGAAAAGAAGGCGACAAAGCATTAATTTTGGCTTTAGATAGAGCCAGGCGGCCTTTTCGCTGCCCACAATTTTCTTTTTCGCCATAACAGGATGGCATTCCGACAAGACTGTTAGTCTCGCAGCATTTCCGCTGGTTAGTAAAAAGATGTCTTCCCTAATGCCACAGCACAATACGACTTTGGGGAAGATTTAGGACACTTCAATAAAAGATAATACAACTATTAGCGTAAATATTACTACAAAGGCGGAAGAAATGGATCACGGATTGTCAAAGACAGTAATTTTTCATTAGTAAATAATTAGGTCTGTAAATTATGCAAATACTGATAGAATTATTTGGGTTGAATAAGTGGCAAATATATTGACTTTTAAAATTTTAACTGATTTTTAGTATATTGTCTTGGAATACTGTAACAATGTTATCATGAAGTGCCAACACAGATCCAAACTTGTAAGACAAAGATGGCAGTTCAGATAATGCATATTAGACAATCAAATAGACTTGTGAAATATCACTTATAGCAAAACTTAAGTACGTGTAGATAGGTCTTAAAATATTCTGGTCTTCGAAAAAGCATTAACATTGAGCACTACTGTTATTTCCCATCAAGACACGACATACCGAGGGGCGATCGGTTTATGCGAACTTTTTCTCCAGACGCCTGGAGAAAAAACCGGCTCTAGTGGCCTTCGTCCCCCCCCCCCTCCACTTTTACATTTCACCAACCTCTTCTGTTTTCAATGTGATTGTGTAATGCCAAGAAAACGTGTCAATCATCATCTGGGAAGGTATCAGTTAAGGAAATACCAAAGCTTGGTATTCTCATGCAAAAGTCTTCTCACAGGCGGGTTATGCAAAAAAAAGTAGTCAAATAAAAATTCAACGTACCAGATTTCTATAACCGCTTATTTTTCGTATTGAATTGTATACGATCATTAATTTAGATATAAAAAAACCAGTGACTGCAATGTATTAATCACTTTTGAAAAGCACTGCTTGCATCATTACTTTTAGATTGTCGTAGGGACGGATTTTTACATGCTTTGACCATTTTAGAAGGTCTCATCCCTCTCAAAGGTGAATATTTATCTTGAATTTTAATTTTTTTGGCTAGCAACCTGGCTGGAGTCTATTATTACCTACGCAGGCGCCAATTTGTAGGATAAAGAATCTTATGCAGCAGCAGAAGCACTTTTGGGGACTCCTCTTTAGTGTTGAGCACCAAGGACAACTGCGTTTCGGACAAGAAACTATTCAACTAATTAGCTTTCCCTTGAAAAGTCGGCTCACCCATCCGTCTTGTCGAATTCACCGTGTGACATTCAAGAAGGCGGGAATTTAGAATGCCAATTGTTAATCTTGTAAAAGGGCGCAGTGGTATTAAATAATTACCAGTTATTTTGACCTGAATGCCACACTATTTATGTCCTCGTTGTTAACTTGATATTGTGGGAAAAAAATCCGAAATGTTATCAAAATTTGCAGCATAAGAAAGGCCAAGTAACCAAAATATTCCCGCAATTTTTGCTACTGTTAGCTGAAATGTCTCCTCCTTACATTCGAAATGCACGCGACTGTTTATATGCATGCAAAGACATGGGGAGACATCAGTCCATCAGTCCTCAAGTTCTTCCCTTCCAAACCCTCGTATCACGAAACTGCGGTGAAATGTTATGTGATGTCCTCTCGCCTGCATCAACAATCAAGTTCACCTTGGTTCAAAAGCAGCATCGAAGCGTTCGTGCCGAAATCTTTTTTACAGAGTTTGGCGAAGGTTGTTTTAAAACCACTCAAAATGGGCGCGCCGTATTCATGAAACCCTCCATTCCTCATCACCAAGAATTATTTGTAGGGATTGTTAAACCAAGATTTGTGATGAATGCTACCAAATAGATGGGTACCACACTTGTGGCCAAAACTAGTTTTTCTTCCAGCTCTGGCAAACAAAACGTTGCATAAAATAAAAATTTGAGGCAATTTATTGTCCCATTGAGAGGGAATGACAGGCTACCATGAAAAATTCATCAGTAAATGCAATGCCTTAAAAAGCCTTCTGAAGATATAAAATTATTTTTCCAAACTTTACACAACTAACCTGTCATCATCTAATTTTGCAAGGCGCATGAATTAGCAATAGTTTTGAAGTATTTCTAATTTTCCCTTTATTTGATGAAGTATTCATTTTTTCCTCAAATTAATCTACCCTTCAATAAGTTATAAATTTAAGGAAAAATAACTTTCAACACCTATCTCTGCTAAAATCAAAGAAGCAGATACAAATTTAAAAAATTTGAGACAATGAAATGTTCTGAATGTAACTGAAAGTTAATTTTACCCCAAATATCCCGACCCTAAAAGTAATTTTTGCACACTTTTGGTTTTATAGTAAAAAAATTGGGTATAATGCTACAAATTATTATCAGACGCAAAACACAAGGGAGTTAACCACCTCTTCAACAGCCTGTCAATTGTCTTTCAAATTGCACTAGACGACGTGCCAAAAGTGCTGCGTATTGTTCGGCAACAAGACGGTTTTGATGCATTTGTGTGCCGAGTCATGCACCAAAAAACATTTTCATGACAGATCTCACCATCTTGAAAGTTCACCGAACAATGAGATGGACAAATCATGTTGGGTTGCATCACTTACACTGACAGCGGAGTAGCAATACTTAAAAGTTATTTTTTGACATGTTTCTTGGAAAACATGATTTTATTATTCAGTTATGCTTAAAAAAATCCAACCTGCACATGTGTTTGCTACAAAGGCATGATGGAGTACCTACGGCAGTTCTTAATAAGCTATTCGACAAATTCCATAGAGATTATTAATAGTTAAGCAAAAGTGAACAAATTCTTGTTAATATTATTTATTGCGTGCTGGTAGCAGATGTTTTACTAAACAGGCATCCATTATGTTTATTGGTTGATTGCATAGGTGAATACGCGGGTAAATTTCTGCATCGCCTGTGACGCCTATGTCGCTACGGTCTGCCTATACCCTTCTGCATAACCACCTCCCACCCTTCCACACATTGATAAGAGAAGGCGTGCATATCTCTCTCTCACCTTCATCATAGTCGATTCCGGCTTCACATCAACGATATAAGGATGAGAATGTGAGCATGTGCATGCGGGTGATCTCGTTACTGAATAAAAAAATGACTCGGAAGAAAGCCAACTTTTGCAACTAAAATGGAGCTTTGGGAACTGCCAAAGGCTATTTTGTCATTAATGGAAAAGGGAGTTAGATCGGAAGGACTGGATTACATTTTTTCATGGGAAAATTTGAGTATATACTGCCATGGGATGAAGAAAATAATGAGAGGAGTTGGAGATTCGGCATTTTCTCACGACATAAAAAAGCCACACACAAATTGAGCACGTATAGTCCTGCTTTGTGATTGATGCCCTCGAATTATGGGGCTGCCCGGGCTATGGGCGGATAGTTGGGGTCTAACCAATGGTACGAATGTCTTATCTTGTCCCATGCCGGTCTGCCGGTTGACGATTTAAAATTCAAGTCTTAAATTCTACAGACAAATCAATTTAGGGACAACAAATCCCCCCACTAATGGACGGAATATGGCACCCATTTGCACAGTAACCTCCACGGCCTTCCCTCTCCAGTGAATTTAACCCTGACTAGTTGATTTAATCATGGCCACACACAATCAGACCTTGATCTTATGACATGAAATAAACATCCAATTTTCATCTCTACAGTTTCCCTAGCTAAACAGCAAGAATTTTATTTATTGAGCCACATAGTGGATTTAAAGCCTCAAAATCACTGAATTTGTTCTTTTGCTTCATGAATTCAGTCACATTTATATATAGCCTATTTAGTGTGAAAAGCCTCTCGGTTTGTATTCACAAAAATAGTATAAGGCAAGGCAATGTATAAAAGTAACTCCAAAAAGAATTTAAAAACACTATTTATACACAAATATCCCTTTTTTATTAAAGCCAGCTCACACTAACACTATGTCACGCCTAATCGTATTTGCTCACCATCTTGGTACCACGTTGACCTAAAAATACCCACAGTCTGCCAACCTTCATGTACACTACTAAAAAACACACTGGCAGGCCCCGATTTTATCTTAGACAAAAGTATGGAAGTTTACAATGAGAAAATTTTACACATCAATGTTAGATTAACAACCCATATCGTATGAAGGAAAACCACTAAATCTCTGTAGTGGGCGCTAAAAATTTCGGTGATTTGGGATTACGTGCAAAATAATGACCAGCGTTATCCCGCTGCAACAACTCCTCACTCTCCCGCGGAGGTGTTTGCGAATGTATGCGGTAGCCCGGGGCATCAGTGTGGAGGCGCATAAATCGTCTTCTAGATCGATGTTTTACAGGGCTTTTTGGGGCGCTGATAGCAGAGTCCACACTCATAGCTCTGGTGTTCTTTACATGAATTCCACCCCTTGAGTTCTCCCGAATGTGTTCAGCCAGCGCCTCCCATAGGCGTTCTTGTCCTCGACTAAACTGAGCGAAGTGAGCATCATTGGCCTCGTGGTAAATGTTGCGATGGGCCGCATAGATATCGGAATCCTCACCCTGGTACATACTGGCCACATTAACACGGCGCCGAACATAATCCGGCATTCTCAACTTCACTGAAGGACCGAAAACTTTACTTTCTTCCACATCATCCAACTCCTTAAATGGACTTGTATGCAAACGTTGAAGTCGTGGACGCGGGCTAGCGCCAGGTTCGGCAATTGCATTGCCCGATGTTTGCATAGATTCCTCCTTTTCATTCATTTCATTCAACTTTTTCCGATCTTCGATTGCGTCTGTGTGGAAGGCTAGGGCAAACTTTTCATAAACACTAATAATTTTCTGATTATGTCTCATAGCATTCTTCTGCAAGAAGGGTCGAATGTACTTATCATCGAGGTGATAGAGAACCTCACGGAAGTGATGAGATCCTTGCTCTCCAACCAAAGTTTCGATATACAAGAGGGCCTGATTCATTACAGAGTTATTTAAAGTTGTTAACAGCTTATTTTCTTTGTCTGTGGCTAAGCGAATGTTAAGAAGACGCACCAAAGGCTTCATCGTTATCCCCATGAATGCCACGGTGAAGAGGATAATCACTAGTGTGGCCGTAATTAGAACGTTTCGTGCTCTCTCTCCATGTAAACCCAAGAATTGAGGGTTTATTAGAATGGCTAGTGAGAATGCTACAGCTCCGCGCAAGCCTCCGTAACTTATTATTACCTGTTCAGACCAGTGAATGTTTGAATGTTTTGGTTTGTTGTGATTCACAATTGCAGAAAGCACAAAGGTGATTAGGGTCCTTGCAAATAGACACAATATTACAGCAGTAATTATAAATCCTGTATGCCAGATTAATTGTGTCGCCATTACCTCCAGGCCCAGTAGAAGGAAGATGATAGCCTCGCAAATAGAAGAAATCTGTTCAACAGCGTTCCGTAACAATATAACTTCTAGAGGAGCTAAATTACGGAAGGCATAGGCAGCTTGAAACACACCGCAGACTATCATGGAGATAATGCCTGACCATCCGAAAAGATCGCCAATCATGTATGCGATGTAACTCATGAGAATCAGAGGAAGTGCTCCAGCTAAGGCGGAAAGTCTAGTAATTAGACATGATAAAATTCCCAGAATTAGGCCGACTAGTGCCCCACCTAGGGATACCGTGAAGAAGGAGCCGATCCCAACAAAAATGTCTTTGACAAGGATTTGTTCTGCAGCTACGAAAGCGCTCATAATGTTGTAGAGAACAACTGTGACGGCGTCATTAAGTAGTGACTCACCAAATACCATGTAGTAGAGGCCTGCATCTACACCGATGTCTTGAAAAATTGCCAATACAGCCACCGGATCGACTGCAACAATGAGAGAGGCAAAAAGAAGGTGTTCTTTGATAGACAAATCGATTAGAGGTTCACCCAGTCCTATCAGTACATCAATGCCAAACGTTCCGAAACCGATGAGAACGAAATTAAGCACCGTGCCCATTACTGCAAATAGCATGATCGGCTCAAAGTAGTCGGCAAATGTACGATTGAAGAGGCTGTAGGCAGATTCGAGAACAATAGGTGGTAGAAGAATGTTGAAGAAAAGACTTGGTGTCAGTCTGATACTTTTTAGTTTGGGACCAGCTTCAGGAACGTACCAGACTATCGCCCCAAAGATAAGTCCAATTACTAGGAGAATTAGTGACTCAGGTACGTACGAATTGATCCACTTGAGTTTGTGATAGACATACTTCATGAGGAGAATGAGAAGGATGAAAAGGGCTAGACAGAGGAAAGTGGACACCTCTTCGAAGTTCCATGAGGCCAAGGCAACTTTCGGTACTTCGATGTTCTCTTCAGAGGTATTCATGGCAGTATTTAGTAAAGACTTTGCAACAACAGAAGAAGTAAGCTGTTTTCTGACCCATAACCAATCCGAAAGGAGTATCATGCAGGTATGAGCCAATGGTTTGGTAACAACCAAGGTCATTCGAGGATCAATGGCAAAGGTTTCGTTGATGTGATTGGCTGCGAGATTTTGCGCGAGAAAATTGTACTAGATACAGTCTTTAAAAAAATTTTGAATGCTTTAAACTCAATTATAAAATGGGTGTGTGGATAAAGACTACCTTAATCCATGTGAAACCAGCAGGTAAAGTGTTCCACTTTCTTGAGCGACCGAAATGTTTCACTTGACTGTTCTATCCAGGCTTCTATTCTATACCCTTAATTTACTCACTAAATTCGATGTCAGGAAGTGAATCAATGCTTGAACTAAATACTCACTTATAAAGTGATTGGTATACCGTCTATGCGCACTATAGAACAGTCAGCAGTTTGTTTTGAAGAATCTGCGCCAACCAAAAGTCTTAAAACAAAACACATTAAGCACTACAACTAAAAAGATTGATGAGACTTTGCTCTAGAGAGAAGGTTTAGCTTAGTACCTTCGTTTCTGGTTTGATATCAGTCCCAGTTTACCGGGGAGGCATCGTTATCCTAGTGCCTTACTCATGTCCACGTCTTCAGGAGTGACTCGAGGCGTTGCAGCACTACTGCTAGTTGCAAAATACGCGTAAAAACTGGAACAGCTTAAGAAATTTCTTAAGGGAAATTTAGAAAATAAAGAGGTGACATTATTTCTTGGGTTTACAATTTTTTCCACAAAGAAAAATGTCTAATTTTAAATGCATGTATAAGGGCGGAAAATGCGGTTGTGTGATGTCAATTTAAAGGTCTATTCACATCTCAAGGTAGAGAGGGAGATGACTGAAGAAAGTGCTCGCTAAATATGCGAATTTTTATGCAAAGCGAGCACTTCTACCAAGCGTATAGAAAAGTTCTACGGTCTAAGTCTATCACCGTTTTTCTCCTGATAAGATATTAGCCTGATAATTCCACTTAAAAAATTGCACTTTGTCAGTCTCAATTACCACTTCACTTTCTGTCTTCGTGTATGATCACGTGGTAAGCATCACTTCAAGATAAATCAGTTAGGCGGCTTCCGAGGATGAGATCGAGACAGTATCCCCTTTTCATTCTACCCAAAGTACAATTCCTTCAAAGGTCGATTTTGTGGCACAATGTCTAGCCTGGTCTTTAATAATGGGAACTCCGGGTGGACGATTGATTATACAGCCTACAATACACCCACACAAAAGTGGCAATGTCATGCTTTCTGGGGAGGAATTGGTGTCTGTCTTTGAAGTGTAGTGCATTGTGGATGATAAGTGAATGGTTTGGGATTATCCAAATAGCAGGATGAAAGCTACCATTGCTACTCATGCTCCAATCAATCAGTCAGTTGGTTAACAGTCTAAATCTAATGGCTGATTTCTATAGGATGAGGTGAAGAGGAAAAGAATAAATCACTTTAGGGCCTACTAGTTTAGTAATGCATAGAACGAGACACTCACTTGCTAGGTAGCCTCCACGACCTCCCCTCCCTGATTGGTGTAAATGTAGACCGGTTAATTCAGCACTCACAGGAAGTTGTTATTGTTCACACAATTATTTCCAATTAATTGTAATCAACAGAGACACCAGGATGTTCTTGAGCGTAACACATCTGTCTTCTAGAATGGAATGGAATACTTACTACTTAACCCTCTCAAAATCCTATTCGTCGAATTTAACGAGGTGCTTCCGCCTTCGGTCGCAAATCCGGCAGGCTAAAATTACATGCATTAAATCAAATTGGCAGTTTATAAAGTTCAGGGAAGGAGGAAGGTATAAGAGCGGAATGAAGCGTGAAGTACCAATAAGCTGGTGCATATCCATTACTTTCCAATCCATCCACTAAAGCAATTGGAAATGCGTATTAAGTGTCTACAAGTCACAGCAAGTCATTACGGCCAGCTCCATCTTGAATTGCTCCTACTTTTCCAGTCATCTGACAGTAGCAAAGGTGATTATCCCTCGGAATAATTACAGCACCACATTAGCATTAGGTCTTTCATTTTTGAAAAGATTGCAATATTTTAGGTCATTCCATTTCATTGCTTTTAGGTCACATGTAATTGAGACAAAATAAGTAGCGTAGTTAGGAGTAATCGGTTAGTTGCATGGGCTCACAAGTAAACAACGTAACTTACTGGCAGATGGAGAGCATTTACTGTTTACTGCTGTGCCAGGGATCTACTCATTTATTCAAACAAGCGTCAATGAGACATTTGAAATGCAATAATATCTTCGTAGTTGGGGACAGATAAAACAAGGAAATGAAAGGACCACCAGATGGCAAATTGGTAAGGGTTGAAGAGAAGAACGTAAAAATATATAAACAAATAATTCACTCCCCACTGTACTCATCTAGACCAATATAGCCTTTATGATTTCAGATTTCCTCTATTTTCTCCTCCAAGCTGTCACCATAAACGAAACAATTTTGAAACAGCCAAATTATGCTTGCGGCAATTTCCTTAAGTAAGGGGAATTCGTAACAAGGTAAAGACTACTCTCCCTAGGTTGTATTTCCATTCGGTGGTATGCCCATCTATCCGTGTCTATGGTCCTCCGCCTTTCTCATACTTCAGTAGCCAACTATTTCTCTACACCAAAACGTATTTTTAAGGGGTACGTAGGTGGCAGAGGCAAGCATAACGTTATGGAAGAGATTATCTGAGACGCTTGGTAGTAAAACCGAGGGGAATCATTAAGGACCCAAGGTCTACTCTTGGCAATCCGTTAAGCTAGTATTTTGCAAGAAGGCAATTAGCAATTAAGGTGACGTCACACTTGAAAAATTAAGAAATGCCCATCATAAAGCTTCTACAACATTCATTATGAAGATAAGCAAATCACTTGAAGGTAAATTTGATGATTGGCTGGGCGAGACTGACATGACAAAGTGGAAGGGAAGCAGTAATACAAGAGTTTATTCCTATAAAGCTCTTGGGACCATGTTTTTTAGTAAGCAGGTCTACTTTCTGCAAAGTTTTCTGCTAATAGTGATTGACCTGTCTAGTATACCGATTTTGGAGCATGGATCCCCCCTGACCGCTAGGGCACTTTTGTCCGCGGTATTTGGTTGTCATGGTATTTAACGGAAATTTTCTTTGAGCCATCTTT